ATATCTTTGTTGGTTGTTATGTGATATGTCCAACTGCCAGCTTCTGTTTTCAAGTCTCAGATATAACCCCACAAATCCGGTGGTGATACATGGTGGCCACAATCACATGTTCACTTAGTATTTTTGATCGAAATGTCTCATTCTGTTTGGTTGCTATTATTTATTTTTTTTCGTTCTTTCTTAAATTTATCACTAAAGGTTGGGAAAAATACCACTCTTTACTGGTCACTTATTCTGGCTTTTCCTTAGGTGCTCTTAATCTTAATATCTACGTTATTATAACTATAAAAATATATATATGGTACACACAATTTCATTATTATTTTTTTCGTTTAATAAACTGGTGATAGCAAACATTTGATTAGTCATTTTAAATTTGAAGTCCTAACATATTCTGAATGGTTACTGTTGTTCGGAACATTGTATCAACTGTAAACTTAGATGCAAGCTGGTCGAAGCAGATTGCCTTGCAAGCCCGTAATGCCGAGTACAATCCCAAGGTATGTGGTATATTTACTAAAACGCTGTTCAGAGTTTGTGAAATATGAATGAGTTTGATTCTTACCTGGGTATCAGCATGCCAGGCATGGCACCTAGCCTCTCCACATTCTTTCTGCTTGTTTTTGTGTGTATCTTGTGGATTGTCTTCTTTGGTTGCGCATACACTATTTATTATTATTATGATGTTGTGCGTAATACGGAGACTTGTATATTTATACGTGCTTATTTGTCAGTGACCCTTCTTTAATGTCTCTACAGCGTTTTGCTGCCGTCATTATGAGAATAGGGAACCAAAACTACAGCTTTGATTTTTGCTTCTGGAAAGATGTTAGTTATCTTTACTTCCTTAATTTATCATCTTTATTGTCATATATACTACCGATAGCTTGCTTTACTATCATGTTTACTGCTGTCATAATAATCGTGGTTTATGCATCTTTCTTTATCTATTTGGCTTGTATTCATTTTCGCATTCACATTAATAAATGTTTTCTGTTTTGATCATGCTTCCATAAGTGTTGAAAGATCAGTCAGCAGATCACTGTGTCACATCAACATATTAATTTTTTATTGCAGAACAGTAGATGTTTTTGTTTCTATAGTTGGTATCAGAATAACTCTTAGGATGCATTAAATTATGACCTGGTTTACATCTAAGAGTTTGTTGATTACTAAAGGTTTTAAGGTCCACCAATCTCCCAGTTTTGAACTCAATGCATGCAGTTAAGGATTTTTGTATATGTTAAAAATTCTAGTCAAATGCCACCTGTGCATACTAGGTGTTCCTTTATATTGGAAGTGATGTAATTTATCTGCATTGCCTTTTAGCTTATAGAGTTTCGTCTTGTTTCAGGTCTGCACTGGTGCAAAGAGTGAACAGCAGTCAAAACTAGCAGCAAGAAAGGTTTGTGTTGGCCTGTGAAATGCTTGTAACTTTTAACTAATCCAGATCATAGTGGCAGATGTGATAGATATAAAACAAATACTTCGAAGATAAAACACGATCATTATGCATTCCTCAATCTAGAATTATGTTCTAAATTTTCCATTATTGAACTGATGAAGAGTTATGGATGTGGAATACATAAGATTTAGTATACATAATAGATGCTATTTCATTTATTATCTTCAATGGAGACTTAAATGAATTGACTTTTTAGTGGGGCATATTTGTAGAGTTTTTTAGTTTGAAATCTTGTTTGTGTTTTTCAGTATGCTCGGATCATCCAGAAGCTTGGTTTTCCACAAAGTTCAGGTATTTGCTTTCCTCTCTCTCTCTCTCTCACACACACACACACACCCACCACCCCCACACAGCAAAAATTATCCCATGCTTGTTACTTCTAAGCTGTTATTATCATTGGAAGATTATTTATATGTTTTGCCTGCTTTATTATTCTGATGCAGACTTCAAGATTCAAAATATAGTTGGTTCTTGTGATGTTAAATTTCCTATCAGACTTGAAGGTCTTGCATACTCCCATGGTGCTTTCTCTGTATGTCATATCATCTATTTTTCATTTTCATTTTCAAACCATGTTAATGGATTAATTTCATATTTATCTTTTATTATTTCAGTTTCCACATGTAATGGATTAATAACTTTCTTTTTGGGTTGCTTTTTGATATTTTATGTTTTGGTTGTTTTGACACTTAGTATGTAACCTTGTTATTTATATGGTTTGGTTGATGTAAAAGTGTTCCTACTTCATACTCTCTTTTTATATAAGTTCTGAAACATGGTATGGGAATTTACCACTGCTATATATGTGCCGTCTCTTCATTTTTATGGGTGGGGACTCATATGTCTTTTCTAATACAGTATGAGAACCAGAACTCTTTCCTGGCCTTATATACGATGAAACAACCAAATTGTGCTTTAATTTTCGTCTCCGGAAAGATTGTGATCACAGAGCTAAGGTCTTTTGAGTTTCTTCATTTATTTGTTCTTTTGTTTTCCAAGGTGCATGCTGTTCGCCGACAGATTTGCTTACTGACGAGCCAATTTTCTTTGTTTGATACCATAGTAAGATGAGACCACACGGCATTTGAAACATATACCCTGTGCTTACTGAGTTCAGAAGGTCCAACGTGGTATGGCTTCTCTCTCTCTCACACACACACACACACATTCATGTATAGTGCATACGGCATCGAAACACGAGTGCACATCCCAGAACATCTAGATTTTTTGCCTGGTCTACTTTTGTTTGATTCTTTCAAAAGCAATTCTGAAGTTATTTATTGAAAGAAAATAACAAAAACCTGATCATGAAAAATTTAGTGATCCCTTTTGACAAAGAATGGAAAATTGTGCTTGATATTTGGTGCAGACAAGCAGATGATACGTATTTGAATTGAGCGCTTCTACTCTGTAGTGGATAGTTTTCAGTTCAGAAACTGCTTTTTTTTAATCGCTGGGTGTTGGAGGTTGATTCAAGTGTGAATATATATGAAGCATGGGCTGAGAGAGCTGGCTTTTACGCTTGTGGCTATGGTTATTTCATTAGGGTCATTGTAATTTGGTCCTGTTCCTGGTCAGACACCTTCCCAAAAAATTGGTACACGATGAGCTGAAATATCCTGTGTAATTACTCATTTGGTGAGAGGGAGTGAAGCACATATATGTTTCCTGAATAATTTAATGTGAACCAAAAAGTTTTTGGATGTTTTTAGTAATAAGAACTTTGTTCCAATTTTGATTACTGATGAATAGTTATACTTACCAGCTTCTATATCATAAACCTTGTGGATTTTGTGTGGTCATTTTAATGTCTATTTTTCGCTCTTCTGTAATATCAATAGTCAGATGGGAGCTACAGCTGTGAAATTAGTAGTTTTAGCTTTTGTGTGACCTCACCAGAAATGAATGGGTGAATTGCTGCACATTTGAAGTGGGTTTTATTGTAAGTTAAAATATATTTACACAAACAAGAGGGTCATAAATGGTGTCTCTTATCTCCTTTTCTCAAGACTTAGAACTGTAAATTCTTATTTTCTTGTACGTTACTCAGTAAACAAATACTAATTTTTAGTTCTACCACTTCCTCAAAGGCTATACATTTCGATTTAACTTGCAAATCACCTCTGAATATTCTTCTCAGTTATTTATTTTGAAGAAAGACTGATTAAAAGTTATTAATAAATGTTATAAATTTAATGTCATAATTTTTGTTATCTCTAAAAAATCAAGGTTGTCGTAAATATGCATGAGGAAGCACCAATCAGAGTTTAGGAAGGTTTTGTGACGTCTAGGAGTTGTCATGTCGTCTTAAGACAGAAAGAATACGACTGTCATTAACTCAACAGATTCAAGTTTTGTCTATAAGTGAATGAAGACCACACACATTACCTTGAATTTAGTTACTATAAATAGATGACTCTCCCTTTCATTTTCAGGATTTTGATCATGATTTTCATAACAATCAATAGTAAAGATAACATATGGGAAAGAAACTGATTTGATATTCTCTCTGAATACTCAGTTATTGTACTTCTGTTCGCTGTTCACTATACATGACCTCTTGTAACACTCATTTATATAAAAGAAACAGTAGACGTAAGATTCGCTTCAAGCATCTGAATCACTATAAAAATCCGTTAGCTTATTTATTATTGTGTCTTTGCATTCGATAGTATTGTTTAACCTTGTGTCAACTCCAAAATCATATCACGTGTAATTTCTAAGACTTTCTTAATATTTTACAAATGTAAGGTTATTGGTGTCAAAATCAAGCATCAACAATTTTAATATTATTGATATTTTCATATAATTGCATTTTGAAAATAAGAGAAAACGAGATATTCTTAGCGAAATCTCAAGTTGATGCTTCTAGTTGTATTTATTTCAGATTCTTACCTTTAAAGTAATGTTGTTTCTTTTATTTTAACAGACTTTCAACTTTTCATTGTAGCGTGACACACGTGCTAACTTTTTTCTTTGGCATACGATGGACTCATATTAGCAAAAAGCGGCTCACATTAGCAGCGTCTAATCTAGTGGTTTTTAGGCTTTTTTAGCTGATTTCGAAGTCCAAAATCACTTCCGAGACCACCATTGGGCTCTTGTCAACCTTCTCTACAAAACTCATACCCTTACTTGTCGAGCCCATTCATCGTTTCCGACTATCTTTAATTGTCACTAACGATATGTGTTTAAGGGTGAGAATCTAGAATAAATGAAATCAGGGATACTAACTTGGGATTCGCTAAACCCCGGGTGAGCCTATCGTTCACTCTTAAAATTTAAATAATAACTTGGAATATTAACTAAATCAATACAAATTCTCACATGAACTCTTCATCTCGGTTGGTGTAATAATTTGAGACGGAAATAATGAGTATGGCAAATCTGTCATTTAGCTAATACTCAAACTGAAGAAGATATTCTCAAGGCATATGTTGAAAAACATGTGGCAACGGTTTTTTACGTAAACTGGATGCTTTTTTCTTTCTTATTTTCTTGCTTCCACTTCAAAAACTACTCTTTTCTTCTTCCCTTTAATCTCTTCCATCTCTAAAATCTTGTATACATTGACATAACCCCACTGAAGTAGTTCTCTCCAAAGTTGAAACAACCCAACTCTTTTCTTTGGTTTTTGTTTACATTTATGGCTCAATTCACAGCGCAAGGTCGTTTAAACCTGCTTTTCAATGGTGATGGAGCGTCATTTGGTGTGGAAACAAGAGAACCTTTTCACTTTTCTTTCAGTGAGAAGCAATCGAGACTGTTCAATGTAGAGACGAGTATTAATGTGAGTGATGCAGGGATTCATGATGAAAGCGAAGAGTATGACGGTGATTTTGAGACTGATGACTTGGCTTGTTTTAGAGGACTGGTTTTGGATATCTCTTATAGGCAAGTTGTTTCTGGAACTTACTTCATGCCTTAACATTTTTGTTCTGTTTTGATTCTTTTAATGTTAGTTCGTACTTGTTTATTGAGAAGATGGTTTATTTACTACATGGATTTTTGTTAGATTTTGATTTGGGTTCTGGGTTTAGAATTTTTTCTAGCTGTTTGTTGTAAAGAGTTGATTTGAGTTGTACTTGTATGCAGTTGATGATGCGGGAGTATGCTTTTCTTAGCTATTATTTGAACCAAGTATTAATTTACAGAGGTAGCTTAGAGCATGGTCCAATAGCAAGAATCAAAGAAACATGACCAGATTTTAAGACCAAGGGGGCTTTTTGTGAAGTTTAAAATACTCATGGTTCTACAAAGAAATAGGATTAAATACTTGTCAAGTGTTTTGGCAAGATGCAACTGGAAATTTGAAGTTGTTGAGTATGATCAATTTGTATGCAATTAGTTTCTTTTGAATTGTGGAGAATGAGGCTGAAGCTACTCCAGCTTCATTCCATTCATGTGCATACGAGTCTGTTAATTCATACAACTTTTAACGTGCTTATTTGCACTTCAAGCAATGCTATAGACATTGCTACTTAGAGAAGCATTTTGGTGAGAATATATGGTTTCAGCTTGTGCAATTTACAGGGCTTTGGCAGTCGGCCATAAACATTTCTTGTATACTTATACTAAGACGAATCATTGAATTACTTCTTTAGATGAGCCTTATCAGATATGCTTATTGGGTATTCACTAACCCTTTCACGGTGTGATATCCTTAGTCTGGTTGTGTTTCAAAGTGTATACTCATTATTGTTTCATTGAAATGCTTATACTAACCATCAAGATGTTTCAGATCTTTTGGCATTTTCTTCAAAATTGTCTGGAATTCAGCCAGTGCATTAGTTTCTTTCTAATTAATTTTCACTTCATAAGAATTCGTCCTATACATAATCACTTTAAAGATGAAGGGGGGAATCAAATTTTCGTCTGGTGTTCAATTTCTCGGTGTACATATGTATGGTATAGAGCTTAAATGCACATGTTGATTCTCCTTTTCCTTTTCTCGTCCTACCTTATTTTAGAAAGACTAGCATAGTTGCATTCATATATGGACCTGATTGTTGTTTGTCTTGCTCCAGGCCAGTCAATGTTGTCTGCTGGAGGCGTGCTATTTGTTTGGAGTTCATGGAGAAGGTTGGACTAATTTTGTTCACTTGTTCATCTTCAATGCTTAGATGCTAGTAATGTATGGCTTTTGGCTTTATGATTGCTGTTGTTTGCTAAAGCTTTGCTGTTTTTATTAGGGTGAAAAATCTTGATTTGAAAAAATTGTTGGACTATCTGACCTGCATAACACATCACCTGATGTTCCATAGCATATGTGTAAAGCACTGTGTAGTGGAGTCAAGCTTCTAAACTTTATACAAGAGAAAGTATCTACTTTTGGGTACATGATACTATGATAGTGATCAATAGTTATCTGGTATATTACCTCTGCCTTGCTTCACAGACTCATTCATCCAAACATATCAGGTTTTCCATTTTGTGAATTCACATAGACATAAGCATATTCATATAAATTACTCATTTTAGTTTTTAAATTCTTGATGTTACTTGTACCAGGCTGATGTTCTTGAATACTATGATCAGACTGTAAACTCCCCGAGTGGATCCTTCTACATACCAGCTGTGTTAAGGGTATGCAATTAGGGATCATTCCCAATTTATTACTAAATTGATCTTTCCTTTTCCTAAATGACTGTTTATTCTGTCTTCTCCTTGTCTACTTGTTGAAAGCTTTTTCCCTTCCTACTGAATAAACTTTTCCTGATCCTATTATGTTGTAGTCTACTTGAACTGACCACATTGTTTCTTCTTCTAGGTTCCACATCTGTTGCAGGTTGTTCAAAGAAGAAGAATCAAAAACACCCTTAGCCGTAAAAATATACTATATCGGGACAACTACACTTGCCAGTAATACCCTTTGGTTAAGTTGCAATTCATAGATCATTCTTCAATGGATAAACTTTTAAGTAACAGAATAATTTTGAATGTGCTTATTTAGATTATGTGGTTCTTTCCTGTAAGCTCTAAGTTTGACTAATTCTCTGGTAGGCGTTTTATAGATTAAAGTAAGAAGAAATGAGATTGTTGTGTTAATGTGGTCAATGGCATGCCTCTTTCACACCAAACATAACATACTTGTCATGTGTACATTTTATTTTACTCATGTCAGGGTAACCTTCTTGTTCCCTATGCTTTCATTAGTGTTATTTAACAATTCATAGAAATTTTATTAAAAATATCCGTGTAATCTTATTAACTTGTTATGCCTGCACTGCTCCTGTTCCATCCCTTTCTCATTGAAGTTTTGCTTATATAACAAGCTGTGCAATATAAGTGTAATTTGTTTACGCTTTTCAGTGTGTTTCCTTTGCCAATAGGTATTGTTCTGCACGTGAGAACTTAACCATTGATCATGTTCTGCCAATCGCCCGAGGAGGAGAATGGAAATGGGAAAATCTGGTGTGCTGACTTCTTTAGTTATATTTTCAATCGTTAAATTGTATCCCCTGTCTTTCATTATCGATTACTTCAGACTTAAATATGGGGCTTCTTAGTTAAATGCTTCTCATGCATTATGCATTGTTTAGTTGTTTGATCGCAAATTGAGATCATTTGCTAAAAGGAGAAGGGATGATTTAAGTGGGGAAGAGATATTCAAAAGAAAATAAAATGAAATGTGGAAAATAGATTACACAGCAGAGCAACAGTATGGTTTGCCATTTCTTTGAATTAATTTACTTTAAATTTGTTACAGTTAAGGCTTTGTTGAGTTTACTGGAGTTCTATTACATGTTTGATTTTATTGCCATACTTATTACCTTGTCAATCTGTTTCTGGTATGAACATGATTTAAAATCCCAGTAATTATTGTGATTCTAAATCTTCACAGTGAGAATAATCAAAATGATTTGTTTTCTCCTTTGTTTACTGATGTGGGAAGCATATAAGTTTGTTAAATGACCTGATACAAAGATGGATCAACATAGAATCTTAAAAAAGTTTTAAAAAACATTGTGCAAGAAACAGAAGGATGACTGAAAACCTAATTAAAGAAAAACTATGATGAAACAATTGATTGTACATTAGGGTGTTATGGACTTTATGTTACACAACACAACAAAGTCATTGATTTTTGTGAGGTATTTTTTCATTACTACGGATTTAACCATCATTTATTCCAAATCTTTACAATTCCTGCTGATTTTCTTGTTGTAACAGGTTGCTGCTTGTGCCAAATGCAACACAAAAAAAGGTGTAAAAACTTTAGAGGAAGCAAATATGAAGCTACTTAAGGTCCCAAAGGTATAGATTCATTCACTATGTTGCTCTTGTGTAAGTCTAAAGCTTTTAAGCTTGGTTTACTGTTAAACTTCATTGTTGAAAATCTGAAACTGGGAGTTCGGCTATAAGTCACATCGGATATAGTGTTTCTTTCCAGGTGTTTTGAACACTGGGACAAATTTTTCAAATGATTACCAAAGCTACAATTTTCAGTTACAGTTCTACTAAGTTTCACTTAATGGAAATAACAGTTCTCAGAAATATGATATACGCCCCTTTATCCTGCAGGTACCAAAGGACTATGACATACTTGCCATACCCTTAACAAGTGCAGCAATAAGAATGCTTAGGATAAGGAAGGGGACTCCTGAAGAATGGCGTCAATATCTACCAAACGAGTCGTGACATCCCTCATTTGGGGTCGTTGTTGTACATTCCTATACTTTGTACATACTGTATCTAAATCTTCTTGACAGGGCTGAAAAACATATGCAGCTCATAGTCCATATAATGCCCTAACTTGGCCAAATGGTTAATTTGAAATAGAATGGTAGATACTTATCTATGCCCTTTCTTTCTTCTTGATTTAGACTTCTCGTTGATCATATCTCAGAACTAGCTGCTCGATACTTTTACCAAGCATGAATCCTGGTCTACCTATAGTTTCACTAGCAGAAAAAAAAGAGTATTTGCAATCTGATGTGAAGGGTCCATATCAAAATCCTTCCACTTCATACATATGAACATAAACCACTCCCTTTCTTTCTATATCCTGGAATCTCATATTCTGATTATGCAATGAGCCCTTGCAATACTTTCCATTTGGTATATTCCAGTTTTAGTGTTGTTCTATGACAAAAGCATCTATACCAGAACTTGTCTCCCCACTTGGTTTATTGATTCTGCTTAGCTCCTAGAAACTATACCTTCAGTTTGAGTCTATGAATTCCTAATTTTTACTCTTGTTTACATTATAAGTGTGACGTTTTATGTTATAAACCGACACGTATACTAGGATAAGTGATAGCTCAATCAATCATCTTTTGTATGGATCATTCATTGAATTGATGAAGGAGAAGTGATTTTCAGGTTTTAAGTGTTTTCCAGGTGCTGTTGTATATAGTTGGAAGAAATAAGGAGAAGCATCCTACAGCTACAGGAATAGGGAGGCATATATATTCAAATGGAATTATGAGCTATATAGATGTATGATATGATTATATTCTAATCTTTAATGTGGAAAGTGTTTGTGTTGTGGACTTGTTTTAAACATAGAGCTGGACAGAATCAAAATTTTATGACTATGAATATGAATTTGGTCACATATTTCACATTATTATTCCTATTCTTATCCATTTATCTCTATCAATTATTGCTTGCAGTGTCTATTTTATTTCTAATTGGGAAGATAAACAGATGCGGTTATATATATATTAAAACCTTTAGATAGTGATACTCTATATGTGAATAATCTTTATATAACCACTGGAGGCTTACCTAATCATTAACAGGACTTCAGGGGATTAGTTGAGTTGTGTGCAAGCTGGCCAGGACACCGCTGAATATCACCAAAAAAAAAAAAAAAAAAAAAAACCCTCTATATAGTCATAAAAAATGTTAGTTCCAATTTCAAATAGTTATAACTTATAAATAAGAATAAACTTCAGATTGTAATAAGTTATAATTTTTTTAATTCTCATCTCAAGAAAATTGCCTCTACATAATAATAATTATATATATATTGCACCAAAATATATATATATATTAAAGGTTTAAGATGAAATAAAATATTTATTTAAAGTTGTTTGAGACAATGATTTATATTTTAAAGTTATTGCCACATTTTTTAACTTCCGGATACGTAATAACTCGTTAACATTAACACATTCTTGTTGAAGCCAAAATATTTATAGCTTCTCAGGTATGTTTAACTTCTTAGCACAAAACTTTTTGTATTTCTGTAGTATTATCATCAGGATTATTTTATTTCTTTTCTTGTCTAATTGCAACAATGAATTAAAATCCTAATGCATACTACTAAAATGTGAATTATAAAATAAGAAATCAAAACAGTAATTTTTGTATCACACCTCTACTAAGTTATAATTTCCTTATAGTAATAAATTAGTTTGATCCCTCAATTATGACTGTAAAGAGGTTTTATTATATATATATATATATATCCAAAGTTTTTCACCTAAGGTTTACCTTAATGACACTTTCTTACCCAAACAGTTTCAAAATATAACTTTATTATCCAAAGTTTATATTCCGTTACTACTGAAAATACAATTTCCTTAGGGTTTGCGATTTGGCGACGAATGGAGAGATAACATGGTTTACGATGTTGGGGCTTTTAAAGAGGGGATGTCGGTGAGTCTTTTGATAGTGACAGGTTGAATTTTGGTGGTTGAGATTGGTTAGAATCTGACTTGGGATGGACAGTTGTACGTTCCACAAATCACTCAATTGCCGGCAATTGGTGAGGTTGACAAGAGCAAGGTTGGAGAGGTTTTGGTAAGTGATGAATGAAGAAAAGATGGTGATGGTTTTGGGTCTCAACGATGCTGGATTGACGATTGGCGATTTTGGCATCGTTGAGACTTTATAACATTTATAAAACTTTGAGTTATAAAATTGTATTTTGAAACTTTTTGGATGGGAAAATGTCATTAAAATAATAAAAATGATATCCTTACAAAAACTCATACAAAAAGGGCTACAAAGTGACATTATTCAGAAGAAAAAAACAAAAAAAAAAAGGAAAAAGAGAGAGAGAGAGAGAAAGAAATCATGAAAATCAAGGGTAGAGATTATCTTTGTATACCCCCTTTATATATGTCATTGTAAAACTAGCATTGCTCTTAAAATAAATATCGGTGGAAAAAAGTCGTTTACTCTCTCTCTCTCTCTATATATATATATATAAAACAATTTTTTCAAATTTTTTTATTTTAAAATAAAGAGAGAATAATATTGAAAGATTGAGTGAGAGAATAGGATGATAAGATAAAGAAATGGTTATTTTAAGTAAAAAACAGAATGATGGCTTGGTGAAAGATAGACAAAAAAAAGAACAGAAACTGAAGCAAGGATTAATAATAATAATAATTAAAGAATACAGAGTTGATGATGATGTTGGTTTGCTCAATGATTCCATTTCACCTCTCAAAAGCTTTCTCTTCTCTCTCTGCACCAATTATATTGAAAATTTCATGGCTGGTAAAAGCTGTTTTCAACCTTTCTATCCTCCCTCTAAAGTCTAAAGAATCTCCATGCTCTACACTCTATTCTTATTCCTATACACGGTCATTTCTTCCACATCACTACAGAAAGTATACCATTATCTCATTCATATTTGGTGTATAGGGTCAAATACTCTCTGTAACTCTAACTTATACAACTTCAACGATACTAATGAAAAATAGATTTATTTAAAATGATAGATACAGAGGAGAGGTGGACCAGTTTTTTAGATCATCACATATTCTCTTTTACAGTAGGAAAAGGGAGAGTTATGGCAGGCTGAAACAGGCAGGCAGGCCTGTAAATTTCGGCCCCACTATTGACATCTCCCAACCCCCTTTTTTAATCTTCACTCAACCATTTTTTTTTTAATTATATTCTTATTTCATATAAACCCTATAATCAAACGAGAAAAAGATTGATGAACATAGCTCACAAATACACAGATGTGACCTATAGCAAACAGCCAAACAGGTGAGAACTATTTGTGACGGACTAATTACAGTTATTATGTCGAGGTTGTGAGAGAAAATTTGTGAGATTGGGTTGTGAGAGAAAGTTATTATGGTAGGCAGGCTTGTAAATTTCGGCCCCGCTATTGACATCTCCCAACTCCCTCTTTTAATCTTCTCTCATATATTCTTATTTTGTATAAACCCAATAAACAAAAGATAAAAATTTGCTTACAACCTAATCTTACAAATTTTCTCTCACAACCCCGATATGGCAACTCGTAATTAGTTAGCTTACAAGTGTACAGATGTGACCCATAGCGAGCAGGCGAGACCCATTTGCGAGCTGACCAATTATGAGTTGTTATATCGAGGTTGTGAGATTGAGTTGTAAGTGTAGTATTACCCATAAACAAAATATTAAACCACTTGATTTGTGATCGGATGACAAGACTTTAGGATGAGTGACTCGCCATTAGGCTTGTAAGATTTTCAATAGACTCCCGAGTTGTAAGGTGTTCAATGACTCTAAGGATTAATAGGGTGTTCACTGGACTTCAGGGATTAGTTGGAGATTAGTAGAGTGTTCAACAGACCCCGATGATTAGTTTAAATACATACAAACTAGTCTAAATATCTTAGTTAAAAAATATATCTTAATCTACAAAGATTTATTATAATAACCACCTATAACAAAGTATTACTATATCTTATTATATAAAAATTAAATAAAATTTCTTTTTGGTTTTATGTTAATATTAAAAACAAGGAAAATGAAAAACGAGTTGAGTTAGTGAATTTTATTAAATAAGTGTGAAATGTGTTTGTCAATTATAAAATGTGAGCATGTGCTATAGCATTATTATTATTCTTCTTAGACCATAGTTTATATAATTAAAATGTTGTCATATGTAATGCATTACTATTTATTATTCTCTTTTTAATCCAACCTAGGCTAATTTTTTTGACCTTTTCTTTATCGGGTACACACTTCTAGGAACATTAGATTGGGATAATGCATATTATTTAATCATTTTTTCAAATAAATAAAGGCACAAAATTGAAGCCAACTTTTTTATTAATATTCATACAGTGTTATTTTCCCAATCAATCAGCCTTTTGCCTCCAAATAATTGAAGCCAACTTTTTTAGCATTATTTTTCTTTAGCAGACTTTATTGCTCTTTTATTTCATATGAATAAAGAGTAAAAGACTTTTTCCCACCCAAATAGTGGCTTGTTGATACTTTTTCACCCATATGTTTTTAAAATACAATTTTATTACTTAAATTTATATTTCATTTCTAATTTCGATATCGTTGTGACTCCACACCATCATTATTCTTTTTTTTTTTATCATTATTCACTAAACCTCTCAAACTTACTCTCACCGACCCAATCGCTAGAAATTGAGCGATTAGGGTTTGCGCAGGTGGTTCTCCCAAGTCAAAGTCCAATCAATCCCAACCACCAAAATCTAACATTCTACTATCAAAATACTCATCGACCTCCCTTCTTCAAAAATCCTAATAGCCTGGATTGAGTTTATTCTTTGTTTAATATCGAAATATAAATTTAGATAATAGAGTTGTATTTTAAAAGTGTGTGGGTGAGAAAGTGTTATTAAACTATTATTTAGGTGGGAAAATGTCATTAACTCTATGAATTAAAGAGTTTGGTTACATTTTTTATTTTTATTTTTATTTTTTGGGTATCCGAGGGTGTCCAGTCCAGCAAGCTTGTACGTACCTCGATTATTTTTTCGAGGTCCTAAAGTTAATAGTCAAGTAAACATCTAATAGTTATTTCTTATTAGTAGTTATAAGAATTCAAATTCAGAAACTCTTGAATAATATATCCAAGAGTCTTAAGCTTACCGTGAAACCACTTAAAAGATAATTGAGTTTGGTTACATCATCGTTATCAAAAATGTATATAAAACAAGGGTCTCATTATAACATCAACTTCAATAACGTTTTCAAAATTGAAACGTTGGTTATAAGCACCACTATTGAACCGATCCGAATTAAATTAGTTTGGCTTTAGCATGACATAATATGGATGGTAAAGAGTGATTCGTTTGGTAAAACCAAGAAAATGAAGAAAAATTTAAAAAAATAGAGGGAGAGAGAGGGTGTAGGCTAATTTTTATTTTCCTTTGGGTTTGATTGTTTCTTTTAGCTTTATCTGCCGACACAAAATCCAGGCCATAAAGGGTCACAACTACCGCTCTGCTTAAGACACACTCAAACTCAACACAGCTTTGAGCTTCTTTTCTTCCTCAACCCAGAGTCTTTTTCTCTTGGTTTTTGTCACTAACAAGTAACAACTTCCATGGACTGTTGCCGGAATGTCTCTGTCTCCGGTGAGTACCACCACCAGCAAGAGCAAGTGCAAGTGCAAGTGCTTTCTCCTCCTTGCTCCAAGCTTGGTTCTTTAACTACTGCCACTACTACTCATGCCTCTTTTGATGACCTTTTCCCCGCTCAAAACACGGTCTGTCTTTCCTCTTTCTTTCTTATTTTCGCCTCAGTTTTGTTGCTTTGTGTGTGTGAGTTTGTGTTTCCCTCTTCTGGGTTTGACAGAAGAGTCTGAAATGGAAATAAAGTTTTGAACTTTACTTAGTTTTTCACTGTTTTGGTTCTTGAATGTTTGTGTCTTGTGCTCAAAATATGTTTTTTGTTGGGTGTTACTGATTTTTTTTTTCTTTTGGTGGAAGTGCAGGAGGTGGATGTGAGCTTGGAATGGCTGTCAATTTTTGTGGAGGACTGTTTTTCAAGCACAGGGAACTGTCTTCCAGCTACAGCTGTTCCCAAAACAAGTGTTGAAAATGGAAGTACAAAAACACCAAAACCCTCAAAACCCTTGTTGCGGAATAATAAGCTCCAACAAACCCCACCTTCTTTACAGAAGTTTGTAGTTCCAGGCAAGGCCAGAAGCAAAAGAAAGAGATCACCACCAGCTTCCATTTCCAAAGATAAACCTTTAATTTTTCACCCGTTCACCACCTGGAGTAGTACTCACCACAACCAACTCCTTAACTTGCCCACCTCAGACTCTCCTTTGCTCCACCACCACCAGGCCTATTGGCTGGCTGACAGTCAACTCATTGTCCCCAAAAAAGAATCCACCGCCCCCACCCCCACCACCACCACCACCACCAACAACAAAGTGAAGGATTCTGATGTGCAAAGTAAAGAAGAGGAGGTGGAGGAGGGGGTGGAGAAGAGTTTTGTGGAGGGGAACATTGGGGGACAGCAGCCAAGGAGGTGCACCCATTGCTTAGCACAAAGGACCCCACAGTGGAGGGCAGGACCATTGGGTCCAAAAACTCTATGTAATGCATGTGGGGTGAGGTACAAGTCAGGGAGGTTGCTGCCTGAGTATAGGCCAGCCAAAAGTCCTACTTTTGTGAGCTATTTGCACTCTAACTCTCACAAGAAAGTTATGGAGATGAGAATGGCCTTGGTCCCTTCGGTCCCCAAGTGATCTTCCCTTGGAAATTTCTCATTTTTCAGTATGTAAATTAAAGTTTAGAGTTTTAGATATAAAAATATGGAGAAATTTTTAACTACTAGTAGTAGTAGTAGTAGTACTATTAGCAGTGCTTATTTGTTTAGGCTTTAGTATCAGTCTACTTTTATGCTTCCACTTATTAGTGAAAATTCAAAACTTTAAGGCCTTCTTCTTCTTCTTCTTCAGTTCTTCAAACATCTCTCTCTTGAGCAAATTTTATTGGGGTTGTTCCAAAAAGTGCTTATGGGTATTGGGGNAAATATCAAAATAAAAACATTTCACATGTCCTTCCAAACTATGAAGATAAATGTTGCCATTACATTTTGACAACACATCACCCACCCATCAATATTTGTCCTTACTTTGCACATTACTTCACTTTTTATTTTGTTTTTTTATTTCATTTTGTGTTATGGTGGGTCCTCATCAATTTGTCTACTTGTCCATTACCTTTCGTAGGTCAACTGAATTTTGAGATCATGTGATTTTGTTTTAACATTGATGAATTTGTTTTTTTTTGTTTTTTTGTTTTTGGTAACTGTACTGTACAAGCCAGTTTGCGCGCCATAATGTTATTGTTGTCGATGACACCTCAACTAATCTCCAGAATCTATTGAATATCCTACAAACTCAAAGGACTATGTAAGCCACAATGTTATTGTGGTAGGTGATCTCAAGGTTTGAACTCAAGAACTCAAGAAAATGAGCAAACCTTCTTGACCGTCAGACTGACTCTTGGGGTTTAATGAATTTGTTTCTTCAAGTTCATAAACAATTTCAGTTTTTGTTTCTCTAATTCTTTTCCACTACTTCATAATATAATTGGGTTTTCTTTTTTCTTGTTTAATTTTTTTTTTTTTTTTAGTATAAGGTGTATCAAAATATGGATAATATTACACTTACAACCCAATCTCATAAATTCTCTCTCACAGTCCTTAGGTGGTAGTTCCCAGTTTTTTGCTTCTATGAATTTCTCAAAATTCATCATCAAAAAATTGGAAGCTGTCACGTAGAGGGGTTGTAAGAGAGAATTTGTGAGATTGAGTTATGAGCCTATCTTTATTGTTAAAATAAATAAAAATTTTGTTTCTCATTGTCTTATGATAACCTTTACTTAGTAAAATCCTCTCTAAAAGAAATTGTCATAAACAATAAAAAATATTTAGGATATGCAAAAGCCTTGATTAAGTAAGATAAATATTAAAAAAGCAAGGTATTACATCATTAACATTATCCATCTTTGAAAAGCATTAGATGGGTAAGATATTTTACCTTTAAAAAATACTAATTAATGGTTATTACTTATTAGGGTTGATAACCTTNTTGAAGCTTAATTAAATTAATTGAAAGAGTAATTCGGCAGTACATGAAATAGGGAAATAAGTGGATGATGGATTCCAGGCATGCACGTGACGCCTTGTACTAATGGCTTCTCCTGAAAATGGGATACAGTTTTGAGTGATTCTTTGTCCTTTCTTTCTTCTTCATGCATTCATCTTTGCATTTTGCTTTTAGATTTCCCTCTGTTTCTGTACATTGTTACTAGTTTCCATGCCTATAGCTCAGTCTCCTGAGTTTCCCTCCTTTCTCATTTCAGAAAGAAAACCAAACCCTTTTCTCACTAATCTTTGCACAAAAGAGAAAACTTGACATAACCTTTAATTTTAAAATAACCCTTATGCATTAGCTTTCTCCAAAATTCTTTTGCCTCCATTTTTTCAAGATCAAATTTTAATTGAATTTTTTTTTTTTTTTTTTTAAGTGTTTCTTAATATAAACTGTGTATTTGTGTCATCCGCCAAGATTCTTATTATGAAAGAATGTATGTCTAACTTGCACTGGGTGGCGCAATGATAAAAGAACAAAGAAAAATCTAACGTGATCTTTCAAGTTCGAGTCTTATTGATGGTAAAAGAGCAAGAGAATGATCGAGTTTGAACCCCCACGACCTTTAATAGAGGTGACCACTTAAGTTCTTATTCCGTGTATAAAAAAGAAAAAAGAAAAATGTATGTCTTCGTGAGGAATAATTCTTCCGTGCATATGATGCATATACAACCACCCACTAAAGATTTAATATCTATAGTTAGGCTACTTTTATGTAATACGTATGTGAAAATAAATTTGAAAGTTCAAGTTTAGCGCTTAGCGCATTTGGCAAGTTTTTTCTTTGATCAAGAAGTCACCCCTTTCACATAAATATTTATATTATATTTTAAGATAAAACAATCGAGAAAACAAGAAAAAAAATCCTAGTACTCAAACATAAAGTTTCGTGCAAGCACAATTAATGGACCAATTGGTATAAAAATTATATGAAGGTGATGAGATGGCGTTGCCCAATTGGATAAGATTGTTAATAGAGATAATTAACATTGACAAAAGCATGCATGTTTTTAAGTTTTCAAAAGAGAGAACGACTTTTTCCCACCCAAGGTTTGCCTTGATGACACTTTCCCACTCAAAAAGTTTAAAAATACCATTTTCCCACTTAAAGTTTATATTTCATTTACTATTTAGAATACACTTTCTGATTCAATAGGCAACGGAGAGTAAACTCGGTCTAGATTATTAAGGTTTTTGAAAAGGGGATTCTAGTGAGTTTTTTTGTGGTGGTCAGGACTGGTTAGAATCTAACTTGGGAAGGGTGACTGTGCGTTTCACAAATCGCTTGATTGTTGGAGATTGGTAGGGTTGACGAGAGCAAGGTTTGAGAGGTTTTAATAAGTGATAATCGGGGAAGGAAATTGTGGTGGTTTGGGGTTGCAAAGATGTCAGAATCGATCTACGATTGGTCGGAATATAAACTTTGGGTGGAAAAGTGGTGTTTTAAAACTTTTTGGGTGGAAAAATATTAAAGCAAACCTTGGGTGGAAAAAAGTTGTTTACTCTTTCAAAAATTACATTGCTTGAAAGAGCACGGCTTAGATTAGGTCATTTGATTGATTGATGGATTGAAAATTTATAAAAAGTAAAGTTAGGTTTGTTGATGGATGGGGAATCTTATATTATATTTCTATCATAGAATAAAACTTTGAATTTAAGTGTTGGGTAATTGGGATTGGTTAATGGGTAGTTAAGATAAATTTAGGATTGTCATTTAGTTGTCATATTTTATTCTTCTTACATGATAACTAGAACCACCATACATATCTCTTGTAATAAGTTAGAATGCTCCTATATTTCATGCATTAGTTCCCATATACAAATAAACAATTCAGCACCAACCCACTGCCACTCCTTCAGATAAATCATAGACAAAAATATTTCTTTTGTACCTAATAAAGGGTCAAACTTAAGACTGTGGATTGAAGTCATGCATAGCCCTCTAGGTTCGTCCTTATCGTTGGGCTACTCATAAATGGGTTGAACCTTTTTGTTATATATTTTGGATAAAACAAAGATAACAATCAAACCACTGCTGAGTAACTTGTAGTAAAGAGCAAAGGAGGATGTAACATAATCTCTTAGTTTGAGTATTCTTGATGATAAAAAGCAAACGGAGGACCTAATATGGTCTCTTAAAATTCGAGTCTCCACGATTGTTAATAGGGTGGTGTCCATTAGAGTTCTATCTGATGATAGTTTAAGGTCCTAAAGGATTATTGTTAGGTTTGTGCAAGCTAGTTGAGACACCCTTAGACATTTAAAAAAAAAAAAAAAAAAAATAAAAAATCATAAGAAAATGTTAAAAAAAAAAAAAAAAATTATACTACCAAATTAAGTGATAGTATTCCAAGTGGTTTTCTAGGCTCCGTTTGGTTCACAATTTTGTGTTTTTGTGGAAAAGTTTTTTGAAAAAAGTTAAAAAAAAAGTTGAATTGGACGGGTATTACGATGTAGGATTATCAAAATATAAAATACACCCTATGTTTGTTGGTTTAACAAAACACCCCTTATAATAAAACATTAAAGTATACAAAAACACTCTAATCTACCCTCAAATACGGACAGCCGGCACACACCGCCAGATGGTGCTGGAGTCGCCGTAAACAAACATTAAAAATATTTAGGGGTATTAATTGAATTAACAAATTAGGGGGTTTAAAAAATGTTGATAAAGTTGAATAATATTGTGAATTTTTGAGTATTTTACTGTTTAACTTTTGGGAATACTAAAGTAGTATTCCCAAAATTCCAACCAAACGAAACCCTAGTTTGCTTAATTGCCCAAATGAAGGCATTGATTGAAATAAATGAATAAAGAAAGGAAAGTGAGAATAAAAAAATCATGTTGAGTAGATGACATGTATGCTTGATATGGTGTATGCATGAAAGATAACACACACAGAACCAGAAATCTTATCCTCCTTTACTCAAATTTTACAATTGAATCTCAAAATAATATTAATAATTAAATAAAGTGAATTAAATTATAATCATCTTATTTTAGGTGGGTGGGTCGTGTATTATGGCCTTGGGTCCCTTCTCTATTCTATTGCCTATTGTCAACCATTCCTCCTCCTTTTCATTCTAATTTCTTCTCCTTTTGATCTTTATTATGCTTCCAACACTACTTAGATTCACTCAAAAATTTTAATACCTTCTGTGGAGAAGAAATTGTAGGTTGTTGAGTACTAATGAGGTAATTCTTTATTGAAATAAGAGTCTAAGAAGAACAAGTAAAGAAAATAGTACATAGATCGACTGAAAGAGAAAAAAACGGTCTCATGTCAATTTGGCATGGTTTCAGTGTAATCTGAGGTGATTCTGTATACATGAAGTAGAGCTCCAGAAGAAAAGTAAAAGAAACCGATACAGATGGTCCAACTGATAGGAAAAAAAGTGTTCATGTCAACGAGGAAAAAGAATAACAATTTTTCAAGGGTTTTAAAATTTTCCCTAGACTATGAAAGTAGGTCATGTTTAGGTAAAGGGATCCAAATTATGTTTTACTTTTTAGAGACTTATTGTACGTAATTTACTTTTTATAGAATCTCTAGAATTTATACAAATTTCTCTTTTAATCTTTTTTTAGATATGGAATTGGCGCCTCTTAGTACACTCAAACTGAAAAAGGAGGGTACATTCAACCATGCGCTCTCTATCCATCCGCCACAATGTGGTGGTTTTTTGTTTACTTTATTTAGAACCCGAAGAGTTTGGTTTCATAAATTTCAACTCTTCAAGGCATAACACCTTCTTATCCGAAAGATTTATGTTTCCATATGAAGTTGCAAATTCCCACCAACATTCATGTCTTAATTTTCATAAATAATATAAATGGTGACCGACAAATTGGTTAGAGTGATTGAAATGGTTGTCTTGAAAATAAATTGGTTGATTTAAATAAAGGTAGATTTGGGTTGGTAGTGTGATGTGGGTCAGAAAATTAAACAGCCAAGCTACCTAAGATTTGAATGTTCAGCAAATAGTGGGTCTAAATTAATGGTATGTCTCTTTTTTCAATATTTGTTTTTTTCATATTTTCCCTCTCCCCATTTCCTTTTTTTTTTTTTTTTTTTTTGGAAGAGTATTCGAATAAAGAATGACGAATATATATACAATCAACTAATCCTGGGGTAGAGTATTATGTGTCGACATGATGTTTTTAGGTTGGTTGTCGAGCTTTTTTTTTTTTTTGTAATATATTTAAAGATGTGTTAATGAATTTTGAATGATTATGTGATATTATAAGAAAATCTTGAAAATCTTCCACGGAACGAATGTCACAATGTTGATGTATATCTTATAATTGATTTTAATACTCGTTGTAGGAAAGGTTTTTTTTCAAAGTTCGAGGACTTATCTTTGAAGCGAGACGAAGATGAAAATTGATCTATAACTAAAAGAAGAAAAAAAGTAAAAAATAAATAATAATAGAACACTAAAAATAATACTCAATGTACCTAAATCCATCAAATAACAATCAACTCACTCAAAGCCTCTCAAATAAAAGTATTATTATGATTTTTTCTCTTCCTTTTTGTCTTTATCATACGTGGAAAATTAGATAAAATATGTACCAATAGTAAAAGGGCAAACTAAGAGGGCTATGCATGGCTTCACCCATAGTTCTCGGTTTGATTTCGTGATTTACCTAAGGAGACGCGACAGTAATTGGTGTGGAATAACTTTCCTATAATCCTACTAGATAGTTAAGTTGCGGTAATTAACCAGATACCTCAATTAACAAGAAAAAAAAAAAAAAAGAAGTTAGATAAAATATTAAACATAATTAGATGATGAATTGTGAATTGATTAGTGATAATATAAACAAAAAAGAAATTCAAGAATCATTAAAAAAAAAAAAAAAAGTAATAACGAATTTGATTGATTGGATACTCCCGCCATCAAGTGTTAGAGATATCTTATATAATATAATTAAACTTTTAATTTCCACTAATCAAATTTCGAATTTTAAAAACAAGTTAGTCAAGATGATGATTTATTTGCATGATTTTAGGTATAGCTTACAACTTGTCCTTATAAAATATGCCCACAAATCAAAGTTTAGATAATGAATGACTTAGAGTATTTTATTGATTGTAGGCTAATATTAATTACTCTTTCCGTTTTTATATAAAAGTCGTTTTAAGTTTGTCCACGGGTTTTAATAAAAAAAAATTTTGTCTCTCCCACCCAACTCTTTCCCCTGATTTTATAGGTGGGAAAAGACTTTGCAGGTGGGAAACTTTCCCGCTGCATATTTAAATAATTTATATTTTTGTCTTATTTCATTTCCTTCATTCTACTCCTTCGTTTGGAGAAAGGACAAGATAAAGAGCGACTTTTATTTTGAAAAAATAAAACACCCCTTAAAACAACTTTTATATAAAAACAGAGGGAGTATAATTTTGTTTTAATCAAAACTAGGTAAACGGTTAGTCCAAATGAGACATCCTGATAGGTTCTATGTGATCGTTCTAGTATTTTAGAATTGCTCAAATACCCTTCATTATAATAATATGGGTTGACGATTGGTGTAGGCTTGAGCCTATAACGGGCTTCAAGGTTTTTGGGCCTTTAATGAGAGGGCTCAATAAACCATTATTAAAATTGGTTAAATCCCCTTTCGAAATGCAACATAGAACAACTTAACTCATTTGTAAATTGTCATACAGAACATGTTATTGGAAAGGAAGACTTATCGCTCTCTGTCATTTTTATTAGGATTTCAAGAAATGACAATCATGGCACAAACATGTTTATCTATAATCCTTGATTGTAAATTCAATATTTTATAAATTTTGGAATTTTGGAATTTTGAATTTGATTGATTGATTATTGTTCATAATTGATTGTGATTTCGGAATTTTTCTTGCAGAATGAATATCCATTGATAAGGAGGTTTCACTATTATGTTTAGACATGACAAACAAAAATTTACAAGCAATATTAATTTCAATAATATCTTATTACTTTTAAAATATTGTTATGCGTTAACTAAATATCATTTCATGTTATTAAGATATCAGTATTTATTAGAGTTTATTGAATAGCAAAATCCTCTTAAGGTTTTGAAATAATAAAAATCTCGCAAACAATACGAGGATAATTAAGTAATTTTTCACTGACTCATAAAAATGTAAATTCAATATTGAAATAATAAGGTTTTGACAATATGTGTTGTCATGAAACTGCTACTATAAAGCAGCAAGAAGTTTGAGCACAGTATGAATGAGAATCCTACAAGATTTACCGATTTCATGGCATCATCACAAAAACATCATAAAACTGAAATTTAGATGAAAAATATTGAGGTTTACAAGCTAAATGAAGTGTAGTTTTATTGAATAAATCGGGAAAAATAAATATAGGCTCGAAGTATCGTACACGAAACTATCAAAAATAAATGAACTAGTGAGAAAAAAGGAGAAATAGAAGAAGATTCTATCCACTATCTAATAAATCTATTGCAACATAAATGTTGACACCATCATCATCAATGCCAAACCCACAAGTGAGGGGCTGAAAAAAGAAGAAGATGAAGCTAACTGAATGGGAAAACTGCATTGCTCTGTTGAAAGATTCTGTGTAGTAGTTGTGCCCAAACCTTGAAAACCACAGGCCAACTCATCCTGATCTTTAATTTGGAAGTACATGTTAAATGCATACGAAGCATTCCCATTCGCATCCAAATTGTTACAAGAAGAACCATATCCAAGGGTCGTGCAGTCAGAATTACTGCACGCAAAATCTATGGTAGCTGCAAGTTTGCTCACATCCTTGGCATTCGGATTAAACATACACCATTTGTTAGCAAGATATTTCACGCCCGTTGCACCAACAAGGAGTTTGTTTTGATTCTGACCGGACAAATCCATGGGGAATTTAGGCTGTCCATCGTACCTAAAGATTCCCCAATGACGCTCGAAATTACCAGGAGCAATGCTCTTCCCATCCTCATCAAGTAAAGCAAACAAGTAAACTTCAATGTATCCAGGCCGAAGAGGGGTGCCTTTATTGGCTGCAAGTCTAGGTAAAAGCCCATTATAGAATCTAACAGCTAAACCATTGTTCGCATTCTTGTCCCCATCTGTTGGCCAACCAACCTCTCCTACCAAAATGGTCATGTCTCCATATCCAGCAGCTTTTAAAGCCGAAACCAAAGTATCAAAGTTGGCGTCAAAGACATTGGTGTACTGGATTCCAGTTCCACTATCAACAATTGGAGTACCCCCGTCAAAGAAAGCATAATTTACAGGGAAATCGTCATTACCGTAGAGACTTAGGAAAGGATAGATGTTTACAGTGAAAGGAGCTTTGTTCTTATTTAGAAACTCAACAATCTGGGTCATTTCTGTATTGATATCAGTACGGAATCTTCCAAAAGATGGGTAAGGATTGTTTTCTGGTGATTCATAGACATCGGCATTTAAGGGCACAGTAGCTTTTACGGAATCTCCAACTCCAGCTTCATTGAGGGCATTTTGAATGTTCTGAAGCGCTGGGAAAGTGGAATTTAGGAATGAATTATTGTAGGATGTGAGGAAAGGCTCATTCCCAACCGCAACGTATCTGTGGCAAGATTTAAAAAAAGAAAAGAAAAGAAAAATCAATGAGACTGCCTGTTATTTGCCAAGCCCCTTCCCCCACAAATCTAACAACAATACAAATACAACTAGAATAGCAATAAAATAATTTCATAAATCATGGATGGATATAAATTTCTTAACCAAGTGACATGAAAATAAGAACAATTGATAGCAATTGAGACAACTCAATCATATTCCTTAAGTCTTATGAACTATTATGTATATTGGAAGAAGCAACATAAGATACCATTTTATTTTAGTAATTAGCAACTTCAGAAGACATGCCTGGAATCTTGTTCCATTCCCAGCTCAGAAGAAAGGTTTACCTGGCTGATAAATATTTAACTAGTAGATTCTTTAACAGAGATCTTTAATATAACACCATGATGAAGAACCAGATTCTTCATTTAACTTGAAACTAAAAATAAATCAAGTTGACAACTTATTGTTCTATGATGTGTGATAATTTCACAACACATTTTATATGGTTCATACACAAAATGAGGTCACAATCTTTCCCATCCAAAATCTGTTTTAATTAAAAAAAGCATTGAAAAGTCCATGATTATGATATTAAAACAACAAATCATAACTAATATTTCCATGGAAAAGATCTTGGCAAAAGAAAAGAGGCTGAAATACGGAACTCATATGTCAGTTCTTTCATTATGCCACTGGCTATCAAGCCCAAGCAGGTGCGAAAGAGTTAAACCGTTCTCATCAACTATATCCAAAACTGTTAGATGAATTTTATTGTTCTGTTTCTCAAATAATTTACATGAATATTTCTTTTCCTATCTGATGTTATACCCAGCAGTCAGCTTTAAGAGCGCCAAATATAAATAATTGTTGTTCATCCTTTTGTTTCCATACAAAACATTCACAGAAAAGCTGCAGTACAAGAATCTTATGCTCCTGCAGACAACCATGTATGGACAAAAGTTTGTAAAAGCAACAAATTCATATTCAAGATCCCAAATCCCCTTTTCCTTTTCTCAAAAGTTATCACCATGTGCTATAGTATAGAGAAATTAAAAAGATAGCTGAAACTTTAATCGAAATCAGATTTAGACTGCAAAAACTATGGTACTTGAAAAGCTGAGTCATAGCCGTCCATTAAATGCACATTGGATCCATATCAATTTTTTCCAATAAACAATTCTTAACCACTAACTAGTAGCAGATTAAAGAATTGAGTCAGCTAACAAACAGGTCTTACATGCTTTTCAGATTCAATACACACTTAATTCTGCTGTAAATGTGTAATGCACTGATGGAAGTCTTCTCTACCTATGATTCGGTGGATGACCACGATATTTTTATTGCATTAGAAAATTGGACAACTCTATTGTTATAGTTTGAGAAGTCCTTTTATCTGGGTTCTGTCTCTCGTTTTATACAATTAAAATTCTGGCAGAAAAGGACTTAACACAAAATGTAAAAATAGCAATTAAAGCATACAATCAAATTCTTCTAATAAGGCATCAGCAATCAGAATTATCAGAATTCAGTCACATAGTTGATGCATCAGAGCAGAAATTTAACACATACACACAAAGACTATCATAAACTAAAATCACAAATTTAAACAAGTATCCAAAATCAATACATCACAAGCTCATACAAATAAAACCCTAAAAAAATTAGTAATTTCATTAGAAAAACCATTGACATTAGGTTAACTACATCAATGCCAGCTAGAACAATACAACCCCACATCAACAAATCAACAACAAAAATAAAAATTTATAAACAAAAAATGGAACTTACTTGACATTAACACCACCTTTGAAATTGTACGCTGTGACATTCCTCCTCACCCACTCTTTGGCTTTATCATAATTAGTCATAACCAGAAGTTGATTATTAGGAATGGCCACCATAACTTCAATATTAGAACCAGCAAGAGCACTCATGGTGTTTTTATCTGCATCAAAAAGCTTCACTTTTGTAATTCCATTGTCTTTCAACAGCTGTACCACTGTCTTTGGCGACAGTGGGTGGGTAGCCTGAGTTCCCCAGTTCACACCGAGACCATTAACACAACAACTCAAAATACCAAGAACCAATACCAGTTTCAGAAACCAAGAAAAACCCATCCTTTTCTATTTGTTTCCCAGGATTATAATTATTTTCCGGGAATGGGAAACAAATCAGGTAGACTAACCAGTGTTAAATATAAGAAAAACAGAAGAACTAACTGAAGTAGAGGAAAACAAAAAAAAAAAAACTGTATCTGGTAGGTGGGTACGAGAAACCAGCGAAAATAAAGCGATTATAGATCGTGAAACATAGAAACAGAAGTAAACAAAATCTAAATATATCCAAAATTAGGATATATGGTTGTATATTTAGTATATTATACCATAAAGCAAAAGTTTGGAGGGAGAAAAGGTATAAAAAACGGTAAAACAGAAACAGAGCACTCCAATGAAGGAAATGATCGTCTTTGTTTTAGTAACCAAAAACAGTATTACAACAAATTCTAGAAATATGGTTTGTATTAAAACAATCAAAACAAAAAGGGAATGACTAGAAGAGATTGAAAAAGGGGGTGGAAAAACAGGGGGAAACAGAGGAGATTTTGTGGAAAACCCAGAAAGGAAAAGGGGTTCTCAATGGGAATATGTTTCAAAAAGGGAGTTGATTTTGATGAGAGAAGATTGAAAAGGAAGACCAAATGAATGTACCTGACGTTGAGTTCTTAAGAAGAGAGGATGGAGGGCTTAACGGCTAGATTTTTTGATAAATAATGTCAAGGGAGGTGTACTTGAAAGGTTAAACCTTTGATGGTTTCAAGAGGAAAAGAAAAGAATATAAATAACGTTTTAATAACGCGTTCAGGTTTGTTAAGTAACTTTAAGAAAATTTAAAGGAATAATTCAATAAGGTTGATCAGATCAAATTTCATATACATATATTTGATGACGATCTTATACATATACGAAGTTGGGATCAACTCCTACATTAATCACTTTTGGGTGATTAAGTAAGACGATAGAAATTCTTGAATGTATATAAAAATAATCACTGGAAGGTTTACCCGAATGTTACATTTACTTACCTATTTGTTTTGTTTAATTTGTAACTTGAAACCCTTACAGACGAGACAAAAGAGTTCAAAAATACAAATAAGAGTTCAGATTTCTGATCTCACTTGCCGAAAGTGACTTTGAAAGAATTGACATTGCAGTTCCTTTTTCTTTTTCTTTTTGTTGGGATGGTCGAGAATATCTGCATCAGTTTACGTACACCTTATTGAGACTTTAAAACTATCGGTTAAATAAGAGTTTCAATGACTATCTTTACTAATAATCAATAAGAAACCTAAACTTATGACCTCTTAAGTAATACATATAAGAGTCCCTATCGAATCACTCGATCACCCAAAAATAGTAATTCTAACTTCTGCCTAAATTTTATAACTTTTGAAAAACGAAAAATAAAGATCTTTGTCCATGTATTATGTTCCATTGGAGTTATTTTCCTTACTCATTTTCAACTTTATTTACTAATAAGTTGTCCAAAAGATGGAGCGTTTGTGTTAACCTAATGATATTTTCTACGCGTCGATGAAATATCGAAAACAGAGGAAAAGAAAGGTCCGTGGAAGTAACTCTAACTTATTTTGTATGTAATAATTGAATGAATTTAGGAAATCCAGTAAATATTGAAGTGATAATGATAATAATAGAGTGAATAAAAGATCTGAAAAGGCTTGGCTCGGAAGCCCCCGCTCCTCCCTATCGTTGAGAATATCAGAAATGGATAACTCTACTTTTTCTTTTTTTTTTGGTCTACCAGTGTCTGATATTAGATTGGTGATGACGTGGCCAGTTCTGACATCCCGCGTGTCTATATAAGATATTATTTATGTTAATGATAAATCATCATTTTTACCTTTTAAATTTTTCTTCCCACAAATTATGGTCCTTTTTAACCTAATATTTTCTTTATAATTAAAAAAATATTATACAATAGAAACCCATTTTAGAGTAATAGTTTTTTTTTTTTTTTTTAAATATTAGATGATAATAAAATTTAAATAAATAAAATACAAATGTTAAAAGTATTTTCAGGTGGTCGGCTGCCGACAAGCTCACTTTTTGAGATTTGAGAAGGAACCCTAGTTTTTGTATTAAGTGATGACTCATCTCATTCTTTTATAATTTTATTTCCATTTAAATTAAGTTTAAAATGAATTTTCACCGTCAATTCATCATGATGTCATCTTCTCATCCATCCAAATCTGTGTAACATATAATGATATAAACAAACCCAAGAGTTTTTATATATTTGATCGTCGGTGTATATTAACCAATGAGAATGCTTAGGTAAGAGTCGTTTATGTTAACAAGTTAAAGACGCGTATACGTTTTAGGTATGATGTAATAACAAAACCCCGTTACAGTTTGGTAAGTATTATAAAAGAATAATGTTATAGTTATCAAAGGGTATATACTGAATTTGTGTATTGAATGATATGATAAAATCCTGATCGTTGATATATAATAATTTTATTTTAATCAAGGGTCATGATTTTGTCACGTCATTAGGTGTATAACTTTCTGTAACTCTATCATTTTCCATAATAAAATTGACTTTCTACTATTTATATTGACACCTAAAATTTTACTATAAGGAGGTTTCTGTTAAACCTTAAGGAGTTGGTCTGACGGTTAAGAAAGTTTGTTCAATTCATTGGCTTTTGGGGTTTGAATCACTTGTCACATTTGTAGCTTATCTTGAAACATTAAGCTTATAGGGTGTTTAATAGACTACATAAATTAGTTGAGAAACGTACAAACTGGTTTAGACACTTCGGTCATAAAAAAAAAAAAAAAGATTAGTAGAGGTGCTTGTAGGATGTTTAATGGGCCTCAGAGATTTAGTTAAGGTGCACACACATACACACACTGGTGCGTAGGGGCGGATCCAACCCACCATAGCCCACTCTCAATTTTTTTTTTAAATATTAATATATATAATTTTTGGATTTTGGCCCACTCTAACAAAAATATTAATATGTAATTAGTTTTTATTTTGGTCAACCCTAAAAAAAATTTCTGGATCCGTCACTGCTGGTGCGAACACTTTGATTTTAAAAAATAGATTAGTTGAGGTGTATGCAACTGACCTAGACATCTCGTTCATTAAAAAAAAGGGGAGGCTTCTATTATTTCTGAAACCTTTGGAAAATTTTTGTTATCTTACCATGTATTTGAGCAGATTAAAAAAGAAATGGTAAGCATATAGGTATCCATGCAACTCCATTGTGCATTATTGTCCATACAGGTTGCTTTTAATGTTCTAATGTCTGGTTTGCTTTCCTTTGGCCTGGGGAGACTAAGATTGTTATTCACAGGTTCTTATCAGTCTTGTACAGTTTCTTAAATGTAGTCCACTGATTTTTAAGATGAAATAATTGGAACCAATTTAAACTGCCGACCATGAGAAATAAGAGTCCCATGTCAGTGGCTCAGGCCTTTAACGGCAATATTGGAGTCCTGGCTGCTTTATTGGAGACCATACTCAGTGCACTTGTGTGCCAAAGAGAGCTGCTATCTAAGAAAAATCTCCACAACCAATTGCCTGACAAAGTCAGGTTCCTATTAATTAGACTACCCACTCCTTGCCCCTGCTGCTTTGAGGTTGAGTCAGAATAGTAAGATGAAAGGTACCATCGGTTTTCTGAATCTTAATTTGGAAAGCAGTTCTTGCAAGTCTGGTTTACTTCTAGACTAGTGATGACTCAATACTTTAAGCCCTGCAAGTCTTACCTTCATAAGATGTTTTGCAAAGGTTGTAGCCCAATTTTACTATATTAAAGTAAAATAAACAAACAACTCTTTTTCCCCTTTGCTGCATCAAAAATCAATAGACTAGGTTCACTGCATCTTTGTCTGCTGTATGATGGAGATTGAAAGTGATTCCTACTGCTAATATTCGTTTTTCTTTGTAAAATATATTGCATAATGGTGAATGCGTCAGGCTTTTTTATACTCTGCAAGAGTATAATTTATACTGTTTTTTGTTCTAACTTATTTGAAAATAAATGCTAAATTGACCATTTTGTTTTTATAATTTTTCTCTTTTATTGCCAAATAAGTATATCTCTTGCCTCTTTCCCCTGCTTCTCTCTTCTTTTTGTTCTCCAATATTCAGCTCTTGCCATGTTTTGTTGGTCATAAACTCATGATTTTGCATTGTTAATAACATTGTAAAACTAATGTTTTCTAGGTTGAGGAAAAGGGCTTAACTGTTGAGACAGCAGATAAGATTGGAAATTTTGTGAAGGAAAGAGGATCCCCTTTGGTATTGTTGTCAAAGCTTAAACAGGAAGGAAGCAAGTTTTTGGAAAACAATTCATCAAAAGTTGCATTGGATGACCTTGAAATTTTATTTCAAGCTCTAGAAAAGTCTAAGTGTGTTGACAAAGTTGTTTTTGATTTGAGTCTTGCGAGGGGTCTTGATTATTATACTGGAGTGATTTATGAAGCTGTTTTCAAAGGGGAGACACAGGTAAATTCTAGTTGTGCATCCGCATTTAGTTCTTTTCATCAAGGCTATTTGATATATATATAGATATACATATTGCATACCATATTATTGTGACATTTTATTAAGTAATATTGGATCATTTTGTTGTAATTATGCTCATAGATCACTCTTATGATGATTTTTCTTTTACTAAATTCATCAGAAGTTAATCCTGTCATACATGAAAGCAATTATTATTTGCAATTTTTGGTAAAACATATTTGATGGAATATATCTTGGAATAAAACTTGTTAAAGATCAAATCTTTGAGTTTGCCCGAGGATTGGTTGGCTGAAGTGACCACTCTCAAAATCAAATCTTTTCTTTGTGCTTATCTGACTTCTACCATTGCCCTAGATAATGGCAATGTCATGCTTGTTCCAGTATTGAGGTAACATGTGGTGTAATATGAATGCTCAGTAAGTTTACAAATAAAATCATGCATATTAAGTTTTAATTATTAAAGGCTTATTAAGATACCTTATTAAAAGTGGGCTACTTATTTTGATTGGAGCCTGATTAGGACTGTGCCTGACTTGTTAATACTTAGCTGGGGCCCAATCCAAGCTAGCAAAAGATAAGTTACAAGTGGAGTTGTTGAATGGGGCTGGTCATGTCACCAAGTCCATGAGAATAATTCCCAGTTGAGTCACATATTCTGTCTTTGCATGAAGCACTTGGGTTTTGGCAGTTTTGCTAAACCTTGAGGTCCCTTTTGCTCTTTCTTGTACATTTTGGTCTTTTTTTTTTTTTTTTTTGGTTCCTAATCCAGTGATCAAGTGTACTGTCTCAGCAGCTTACTGTCCAATAGTTATAGCTAATAAAACGTAGCTGTTGTGCCATACCAGTTCATGAATGTATTGTCTGTTGACTATAGATTGTGCCAGCTCAGTCTAACCCTAACAGTTTACATTTCTAAAATCAAGCCTATGTTTCCTGGACTGAGGCTGAGTTCTGTACCCAATCTCTATAGCTTCTTGGGGAAGAAGGATGTAGTAGATAAAAGAAGGATAGAAGCTAAACTCCCACTTCTTTACATTTCGATGAAAATGTAAAGGGTAGCTAGAACAACATAAAAGAGATTGGTCATATGAGTTAAATCATAAACCAAATTTCCTCTTTGTTGCTTACCACTGGATTAAATGATATCAAATGAAATCTATTGAAATATGGCATCTCTATCAAATTTATGTAAATCATTATTCATTTGTCATCTTATAATTTCTTCCCGGCATTAGTTTTATAGTTGTTGCTAAGATAATATGACTAACTCCTTTATGTACTCAGGTTGGTTCAATTGCTGCTGGTGGACGTTATGACAACCTTATTGGAATGTTTGGTACAAAGCAGGTTCCAGCAGTTGGTGTCAGTCTTGGAATTGAGCGAGTGTTTACTATAATGGAGCAGCTACAAAAAGAAAGGAACCAGGTGATGATAACATTCATATATAGTTGGTTTCTGTGAGTCAATTATTAGCTAAATATTATACTGTGCATTTTGTTGAGGAATAAATGTGTTGATTGCTCCAATATTCTACACCCATTGGATGTTTCCTGTAACCCAGCCTTGTTCATTTGTTTGTTAACAGCATTCTATTGTGCTCATTTTCTTTGTAGATTTAGTGTTACTTTTACAAATATTTGGTTGATTAGGAGTGCTAGGAACACTCTCTTTTGCACTTTTTTTTCACTCTTACTTTCATCATGACGTGTAGAAAATACAAAAAGATGAAAAACAAATGATGCTTTCTTTTAGATTGCAGAGTTAGATCTGTGAAGTGCTTTTTAAGTTATCCTTGTCAAGCTTAGATAAAATCTTATCCCTTTCAAGGGTCTATCATTTGATTTTACATGGTCTCTATGGTTTGGGGTAGAAATGTTCTATTTTAAGGAGAAAAGCTCGCCACTCTCCTTTTTCACTGTGTCACTTCCACTTGATGCATGTACAAAAACAAAAAATGTGGCAAGTTGATAATATGGTTAAAATAGTGATAACTTTGTTTTTTATATGCTCGTCAAAAGGAAAATGAAATAGTGGGAAAGAGAATTTAGTTAACATTTCTCCATTTTTAAGTTCATTTGGTGGATAACTTTAGAAATCTCTGTGCTTGTATTTGTTGTAGGCACTAATGTGCCATTTCTTGTTTTCTCTGGTGTTGGCAGACAATCCGAGCCAGCGAGACACAAGTACTGGTGGCCTTGCTTGGAGATAAGCTACCTCAAGCGGCAGAGCTAGTTAGTGAGCTGTGGAATGCTAAGGTGAAAGCAGAGTTCATGGTCCACAAGAAAGTGATGAAGCTCATAGATCGCGCCAGGGAGTCAAAAATCCCTTGGATGGTAATTGTCGGTGAGCGGGAGCTGAACGAAGGAATTGTAAAGTTAAAGAACATCGATACCACTGTAGAGGAGACCGTCCCCAGAAGTAAATTTGTCGAGGAACTTCAAAGACGGTTGAACCAATGAAAATACTATTAAGTTGAGGTATAAATTTACAACCATGTTCCATTTCAACTCATGCCAATCTGCTGTGTTATTCAATGCCTGTTTTATCGAAAAATTTCTCATTTTATTAGCTGTATGGGAAAATCTGAGGTATGCATCTTAATATATGGTAAACTGATATATATTGAAATTTTGTTTTCATAAATATTTTCTGGAATTTTATCTTATTATTTTAGTTTCGGGAGTTGAGAATTTATGTTTAACAAGTAATAGGCTCTGTTATCATTTATAGGAATAGAGTTCCTATAAGTAGAGATTTTATTTATAGAGCTCTTAAGTAGTTTATCCTTAGTTTGTTGTTTATTCAAACAGAGTTAATGTAAGGAGAAACTATTCTATTATAATTTTTAGCAAAAAAATAAAATAAAAAAATAAAAAAATTGTAGTGTTAAAACACTTTTATATAGGTGGATTGATAGTGGTATTTCATATGAAAATCCCCCAAGGATAATATTTTTTTATTAGTGTGATTTTAAAATATTAATTATCTATATATATTAATTAAAAATTGTCAAAGTAAATGAAATAATAGGGAAAACGACTTACACCTACCCAAGGTTTGGCGAAACGACAGATTGGTACCCAAAAGGTTTGAAAACGATAAACAGGTACATTTCGTCATGTGTTGTTAGTGATTTCCGTTTGTTAATGGTGAAAAGACTAGGATGCCCTTGAAAGTTTGATATTTTAGTTTTTTTAAAATTTATAAAAAATCCCCTAGGTTTGCTAATTTAATTAAACACCCCAATATATAAATTTTTTGTAAAATGACAAAAACACCTGGATCTGTGTCGTAATGCATTGATCTGGCCTTTTCTGGTCAAATCCGTCACGGATCTGGCTGTCGACGGTTGCAACACTCCATCTTGGCCGTCAGCGATGGCCAAAGATGTGGCCGTCAGCGATGGCCAAAGATGTGGCCGTCGTTGTCTGTCAACGATGGCCAAGATTTGGTCGTCGTTGACAGTCAACGACGGTCATTACTTTGGTCGTCACTTTCCGGTCAGATCGGTGAAGTATCGACAATTTTCGGTGGTGGTGTAAATCGTTGTGACAGATTCCGACTACCACCGACGGTGGCTGTCGGAATCTGGCAAGTATGGGTGACTGGGGGTGTTTTTGTTAATTTTTAAACTTGTTTTTGGGGGTATTTGATGAATTTAATAAACTTAAGGGGTCTAAACTAATTAAAAAAATGGACTAATATTTCTCTAGGGGCATTCTAGTCTTTTCACTATTAGTAAACAGAAATCACTAACAGCACATGACTGAAGGTACCTGTTTGTCGTTTTCAAACCTTTTGGGTACCAATCGTCGTTTCGTCAAACCTTGGGTAGGTGTAAGTCGTTCGGCCTGAAATAATACAATACATCCTTTCAGCCGCCCTTTTATGTGGTATTAATTAGTACATTGGATATGAATTGAGGACTTGGAAGTACATTGCATTAGTTAATAAAATACAATGTAAAATTCCCACCAAACTTGGTTGAGTATTGTTTAGAATTATACGGTGTTCTTTGTATTACTCCCTCTGTCTTTATATAAAAGTCGTTTTAAGGGTGTTTTATTTTTTTTAAATTAAAAGTCGCTCCTTGTCTTGTCCTTTCTTCACTTTTCGTCATGGCCCACTTCTCCTCTGTCTCTCTTTATCTTATCTCTTCCCCTCTTCTCCTCTCTTCCATATTTTCCATCGCCCACTTCTTCTTTCTCTACTCTACGTCTATGCTTCCATCTTTTTTCTCTCTTTTTCGGAACAAAGTTTAAAGACAGGATCCTGACTCGAACTTTATCGAAGGTCAATTCTTCGATTTTAAAGAGCCATGTTTCGTAAAATCAAAGAGATGGAAATGGAAATGAGTGAGGGACGATAGAATAAAAGAAATAGAACAGAGTAAAAGAAAAGAAAGAGAGGAAGGAGCAGAATAAAAGAAATGGAATAAGACAAATGTAAATTATTTAAATATGCAGGGGGAAAGTTTCCCACTTGCAAACTCTTTTCCCACCTGCAAAATCAGGGGAAAAAGTTGGGTGGGAGAGACAAATTTTTTTTTTATTAAAAATCGTGGCAAGCTTAAAACGACTTTTATATAAAAACGGAGGAAGTATATAAATGTTGTGCATCAAACATACTCATATTTTCTTATCACTTATATGACGGTTGAATCAAATGTGTCATTTAAGTGATGGTAAATCAAAACGTCATAAGGCTTGATACGATGTTGGAGTAGTACTTCACTACTTTGTAATCATAGTATTATTTTTCCACAAAGCATTCACCTTACAAAATATTTATTACTCCCTCTGTTTTTATATAAAAATCGTTTTAAGCTTGGACATAATTTTTAATAAAAAAAATTTTTGTCTATCTCACCCAACTTTTCCCCCTAATTTTGCAGGAGGGAAACTTTTACGCTGCATATTTACATAATTTACATTTGTCTTATTCCATTTCTTTTATTCTGCTCATTCCTCTCTTTCTTTTCTTTTACTCTGTTCTATTTCTTTTAGTCTGTCGTCCCTCACTCATTTACATTTCTTTTCCATTTCCATCTCTTTGATTCTACGAAACGTGGCTCCTTAAAGTCGAAGAATTAACCTCCGATAAAGTTCGAGTCAAGGATCTTGTCTTTAAACTTTGTTCCGAAAAACAGAGAGAAGATGGAAGCAGAGACGCGGAGTAGAGAAAGAAGAAGTGGGCGATGGAAAATATGGAAGAGAGGAGAAGAGGGGAAGAGATAAGATAAGATAAGATAAAGAGAGACAGAGGAGATGTGGGCTATGACGAAAAGTGGAGAAAGGACAAGACAATGAACGACTTTTAATTTGAAAAAATAAAACACCCTTAAAACGACTTTTATATAAAAACAGAGAGAGTATGTCAATATAATTCTTTTAAAATAAATTCAGTTTTTAATACATAAATATAATCAAGATTAATTTTATATACCTTTTGTAACATCATTTAATTTGAAGCGCATTTAAACCTTTTATAATTAAAGAAAGAGTTTTTTTTATGGTTTTTGAAAAACTTAGATCCGTTTAAAATTAATTAAGAGTGATGTTATTGGCCCCATTTCTTAATTTATCTCATTAAAATTTTTAAACATATCTAAATGTCTAAACAAACCCTCTCTATTTACAAAATAACCCTTA